ATTTTTTCATTTCAAGTCACATTTCTAAGTCTTTCAACTTTCCATACCTAAGATGAAGACAAGCAAAGAGAATGATTTTCCACAGCCACTGATAAAAACTGGTGAAGGACATATATGGCAGTATAAATACATATGTGCTATATATTTAGTGGTATGTATCCATATATGTGGTATGTATGGAGTATGTGTATATATATACCAGAAGGAACCATTTGGTATAGCCTACTTATTGGTATGTTAAATTCATAACAAAGGAATCAATTAATATGCAATTATTAACATACTTCAATAAATGTTGGACAATTAGAGGTGAAAAAAAATTGGTGAAGGATAAGGAATTATTTGTGGCAATGGTAGGAAAATTATACCTCAGAAGTGAAAACATGATAATTTAGTGAAATAAGAAAAGAATAACATTAGAAACAAACTGTAGCAAAATAACTTGTCTCTATAAAGGGCTTAAATTAGAACTCAAACATTAGAAAAGCTCCAAGTTTGATTCTGATATAGGAAGTCACGACTAAGTGAAAAGGAAAAAATAATGACAGTTATAATTGTAGATTAGTAGGAAATACTGATCCAAAACTAGATTTAAATTCTAATTTTTAGGTTAACAGATCCTTTAGCACAGTGATTCTCAACCTTTCTAATGCCGCGACCCTTTAATACAGTTCCTCATGTTGTGGTGACCCCCCCCAACCATAAAATTATTTTCATTGCTACTTCATAACTGTAATTTTTCGTCTAAGACCATCGGAAAACACAGATATCTACATTACAATTCATAACAGTAGCAAAATTACAGTTATGAAGTAGCTACGAAAATAATTTTATGGTTGGGGGGGTGTCACCACAACATGAAGAACAATATTAAAGGGTCATGGCATTAGAAAGGTTGAGAACCACTGCTTAGCACTATCACCATTGTGAAAAATCAAAGCCTTCAACAAATGATCATATTTTGTACAAATTTATTTTGAAGGGTAAAGAACTCGATAATTTTTAAATATTAACCAACCTGGCCAATTCTACCTAATAAGTTAATCACTTTTTCCCTCATCTTCATTTATATAATAAAATGAGAAATACACCCCCACACACAAACAGGAAACCTACTTTAATTAAGTATGAACTCAAGTCTTTTAAATCACATATGCATATTATACAATAACAGGAACTTATCATTTCCCTCTCTTCCTTCAAATATGGTTTTTTGTCAAAATATGCTCCTGCCAAGATTTCTCTCTATTGGAGCTGCCATCTTGTTACATATTGCTACATGCAAATCTAACAATGAAGAAAATTATTATACTCCCAGCCAGAAGAATGTCAAGAAAGAATGATGATCCTCATGGAATTACAAAATATAAGTCTGATTTGGAGTCAATATGAAAACATTTGTATTAAAAACCACATTAAAGTATACTTTGTTTAAATTATACTTTTTACATTATGTCCCAAAAAATCTGATTATGTCTCAAAATTAACCAAGACCTAACTGTGTAGTAGAGAATGGAAAACAATGTAGTTTTTCACACCACTTTAACATACCAAATGATATCATATGAGAATACAGTGATTTCTAAAATAAAATAAAAGCAATTCTATACTATGATATAGAATTAAAGGGAAAATATTCAACTATAAAGGTCTACTCAAAAGTGATATCTGTGAAAAACACATATGGATTGACATATAACTTTTCCAACAAATCTGGATTATAGATGACTCAGTAAACAATATCATTTTCAAATTGAAGGAAAGACTGCTCCTTAGTTTTAAAAAAGGGATGGGGCAGTGGCAATGAGTGAGTTTAACCACTCTTACAACAATTGTTTTAATACCTCTTTCCATTTAAAGGCAAGAAAAACTGAACATGTTCAATAGTTACAGTAACTTTCCTAAGCACTAATTTCAAAAACTTTTATAGGTACAATAGGCATTAACTGGGATACCCACTGGCATAGTATGCATGTGAATTAATTATGCATGACAGAGTTATATAAAAAAAAAAGTTTAAAAGTTCTGTATTACTATTACCTATACCTATGTACTATACCTATGTCACCACAAAACAGGCTTAGATATACTTTTTGTTTGTTAATCCTCATCCAAGGATATTTTTCCCATTGATTTTTAAAGAGACTGGAAGCAAGGGAGGGACAGAAAGTGACAAACATCTATGTGAGAGAGACACATGGATTGGCTGCCTCCCACATACACCAGAGAGGTGGCAGGGATCAAACCTGTAATCAAGTTACGTGCCCTTGATCAGAATCAAACGCAGAACCCTTAGTCTTCAGGACAGTGCTCTATCCACTAAGCAAAACCAGCTAGGGTCAGGCTTAGATTTTCAATCAGAAAAGATTCTCAATAATTCTCATAGAAATATTTCACATAATTTAACCTCATGCAAATATTTAAGAAATGGAAAATAAGACAAAATGAATCACTGTTAGGTTTAAAAACAGCAGTTCAGATTTCTTTACACCTAAGTGAAATAACATGTGCGGAAGATAATTAATAAAGGCTAATATTTATTGAGCACAGTACCACACAATGTGACTAATTCTTTGCAAGTATTGTCTCATTTAATCCTTAATAATCTTAAAAGTTCAGAACTATCACTATCTCTATCTTAACTGAAGAGGCACAAATAAGTAATTTACCCAAGAAGTGGCAGACTATAGATTTCAACCCAGAGTCTAAAACCAAGGTAACAGGGAAGAGAGGGAAATGGTTCAGGAAAATCACAGAAATATTAACTCCCAATGTAGAAAAGAACACTGTTTACTGGTGGCATATACTACTCTGAAATAGTGACTTGCAATCCTGGCTACACATAAAAATCACCAGTATGACTTTAAAAAAAAAAAAAAACTATCCAAGCCTGGGACTCTCACTCTGATATTTGGCCTTCAATTGGCCTGGCCTGGGGCAAAGGCAGTTTTTTTTTTAAGCACCCCAGATGATTCTAATGGGCAGCTAAAACAGAACCACTGGTAGTTCTCTCTCATCCTGTTAACCTCTCTAGTAGCCAACTATAATCAAATTAACTGATCACCTATTTGGTTTTGAACACTTTGCCATTATATTTTCCATTTATTCCAAATAAATGCTTAGCTTTTCTTTTCCTTAAAAAAAAAAAGGGGGGGGGGGGGGAGAGACACGACGACATTACAACTATTGCTATACCTTTTTAAATACCAAAATTTTGCCAGTTTTTCTTTGACATCAGGAATGTTGGGGGGGAATGAGCAGATAGCATAAAAAAGTTTGAAAATCCCTTCTTTAAGCGTCCACATATTCCTTAGATTTAAAACCATGTAAAAAAAAAAAAAAAAAAAAAAAAAAAAAAAAAAAAAAAAGAAAAGAAGTCTTAACTGTCCGGCTGTAGTGGCTCAGTGGACTGAGCATCCTCTCATAGACCTAGAGGTCCCAGGTTTGATTCCTAGTCAGGGCACATGCCCAGATTGCGGCTAGATCCCCAGTAGCAGGTCTGCAGGAGGCAGCCAATCAATAATTCTCTCCCATCATTGATGTTTCTACCTCTCACTCCCCCTCTCCCTAAAATCAATAAAAATATAATTTAAAAAAACACACACACTAAGTAACTGCTACTGTGGTGATAAATTCCATTGTCTTTTCATGGCACTGTAACATTGATGATGCAGTTTTTACCCTATAAGTTCTCCTAAATATTAAACTATCAGGGGCTAAAGAAATGAAAGCATTATATAAACATAGCCTAACAGCAATACCGCTGGTTATATCACGTACTGACAAACGCAAAGATTTTCCTGAACAATCTTATATGAGAAGTCTTACTGTTTCCCTAAAGTTATTCAATTACACATTCCAATCACCCTATACCAAAATATAATTGAAACTGTTTAAGAGTCTCAGATTTGCTGGCCCTTTTATTTTACTGCAAAGGTAGAAATGTGGAAATATCTGACAAGCATGGACGTTTGACCTATGATTTGAACAAGAGATCTAACACGGGGGGGGGGGGGGGGGGGGGGAGGGGAGAAGAGTATAAATAGTTCAAGTAGTACAAAACTCTGGACTTCTCGGAGAAACATTACAAAACTTCCTGCTTCCGGCCAGCTCATTATTTGGTTCAGACTTCACGTTCCTTTATTAGTCACGACCATTCAGAAAGCTATTTGAATAATATCGAACTTTTAAATGTTCCCAAACCAGACTTTCAAGAAGGCATATCAAATGAAGAAGCCATCCCAGAGCTCATGCCCCCCCCAAAAGAGGGAGTTATATTTCAAAGAACCCTTAGTAACCTGAGAAGTATGTATCAGAGATTTTTTTAATTACTTGTACACATATACCGTTCTGCAGATTTTAAGCATACGTTCATCTGTACAGTCTCACCATGCACAATTACGGAAACTTGCATTAGTTCTGCAGAAATTGCCTCTGCAAGAAACTGAGTCTTGGGGGCGGGGGTGGGGGGTGGGGGGAGAAACAATGTGTGAAACACACAGACACGACGACAGTGACCCAGTCATTGTCACCGGGGTCTCAGACGGCCCAGATCTAGCCTCTAAGCCAGAAGTCACTAGGCTCAAAGGCCCAGACACGAGAGCGAGCCACAGGGTAACTGGGTGAGAAAACAAGGGGGAGGGGCCTCAGAAAATGCGTCTACTTCTTACCCCGAACCTGAGGGGGTGTCCCGAAAGGAATGACCCCAGAGAAAAACCTTCCCTCCTGGGATCCTGCCTATCGCCCCTCGGCCTGGAAGGCCTGCTACAAAGGGTTGTTGGGGGGGGGGAAGAAGGTCCTCACTTCGGAGACCGAAACAAATGAAAATAAAGCAAGTTCTCACTTCCTGGTTGCCTACTTTCCCAAAGGGCCCCCCGACACCAGACGGACATCGGGAAAATGGGGCTCCTGCGGAGTCAAGGCCACCACCCCCCCCTCATGACCCCCGCCCTCGGCCCTGCACCCTCCCGTCCTCGCCCTCGCCCTCCTCCGGGCCTTACACGGTGACGTGCCCCGAGCCGCGGACCACCACCGGGTCCGGCGAGTACTTGAGCAGCTGCTCCTCCAGGGCCCGCTCCTCGTCCTCCTCCTCCTCGTAGATCTCGTCGAAATCCGCCATCCTGAGTCTCGTCGAGACCCCTGCCCGAAGGGGCCGGACTCCAGAGGACTGTGGCCGGGGATACGGGGCTGCGAGGCGACGAAGGCTGAGGGGAGGCGCCGCCGCGGGCTCAGAGGCCGCGGACTTGGCTCCCGGCGGTCTCTACTCAGGCTACAGAGGAGACGTGGTCCCGGCCGCCGCCGCCGCCATTACCGTCAGCAATAACAACACAATGTCAACATCCGCCCGAGGGCCGACCCCTCCACCCGCGCCGCCGCCGCCGCCGCCGCCGCCGCCGCCGCCACTCAGGCAACCACAGCAACAGCCAGAGCCGCCCGCAGCGGGAGCAGCGGGCTACGGCATCGCGAGACTTCCCGGGAGCGCGGGCGGTGCGTGGGCGCGTGAGCGCGTAGGCGCGTAGGCGCGCGCACGAGAGCCGCGCGCGCTCTCAGGCCGTCTTCCCTCCCCCGCTCCCACCGGCGGACGGCGTCTGGAGGGCGCGCTCCCGCGGCGCGTCCCCGACCTCCCTCCGCAAATAGGTCGCCGACCAGCGTCGGGGGCGCGGCTCCGCGAGCCGGAGGCTGTGACCCCGATTCTGGAAACGGGGCTCCGAGCCTGCGGCGGGGCACTGAGTTCACCGAAGTAGCTCCAACCAAAACAACTGAAAATGAAAACCCTGATGGGAAATAGAGAATGAATCGTGCGTCTGATTGGCAGTTTATCTAACAATTGAATCTCGCTTTTCGTCGGGTTGTTTTTTTTTCGTCTGTGATGAAGGCCACCGTCTTACATTCCCAATTTGAGAAGCCCCCACAGACACTGCAAACGTTTTTGTCCACTAAAATTCAGAATTTTTCAAAACAGGCCCAAATCCAAGCATCTTGTCCGATCATCCTTTTAAATGTATTCTAATAGGCGAGACCAACGACGCTGATACTTTCTGTTCTTAAAAGAAAACTCACTGTCAAAAAGTGAATGAACTTTGAAAAAAAAACAAAAAACTCATAGACACAGACCACAGTATGATAATTACCAGGAAGGGTGGTGAGGGGAGTAGAACAGGATAAAGGGGAGATAAATGGTGACGAAAGGAGAGGACTTGGGGTGGTGGACACTATACAATAGAGTAGACAGATGATGGATTACAGAATTATACACCTGAAACCTATAGAATTTTATTAAGCAAGATTACCCCAATAAATTCAATAACTTTAAAAAAAGAAAGAAAGAAAGAAAGAAAGAAAGAAAGAAAGAAAGAAAGAAAGAAAGAAAGAAAGAAAGAAAGAAAGAAAGAAAGAAAACTCACTGTAGTCACGCCATAAAACAAAATTGGCAAATTCTCTGTATTACCTCAACCGTAGCCTGTTTTCTTCCATTAAGACTTTAGGTAATCCCTTTCCTCCTCCCACAAAAGAAGGAAAGGGAAGGAAGAAAATGTCTAACGAATGCCTCTTACCTGCTTAGACCAGTAGTAAAGGCCTAAGGGTCACCTGGGTACTTGGTTTCAGAGTCAAGAACCTGCCCAGGAAAAAAAAAAAAAAAAAAAAAAAGGAGGGAGGGAGGGAGGGAGGAAGGGAGAGAGGAAGGGGGGGGGGAGAGAGAGAGAGAGAGAGAGAGAGAGAGAGAGAGAGAGAGAGAGAGAGAGAGAAAAGGAAGGAAGGAAGGAAGGAAGGAAGGAAGGAAGGAAGGAAGGAAGGAAGGAAGGAAGGAAGGAAGGAAGAAGGAGGGAGGGAGGGAGGAAGAAGGAGGGAGGGAGGGAGGAAGAAAGGAAGAGTTCAGAGACAGGAGAGGGCTCCTGAGAGTCCTGGCTATTGAGGAAGGAAGGAAGGAAGGAAGGAAGGAAGGAAGGAAGGAAGGAAGGAAGGAAGGAAGGAAGGAAGGAGAGAGAGAAAGAGAGAGAGAGAGAGAGAGAGAGAGGGAGGGAGGGAGGGAGGGAGGGAGGGAGGGAGGGAGGGAGGGAGGGAAGGAGGAAAGAGGGAGGGAGGGAGGGAGGAAAGAGGGAGTCCTGACTATTGAGCACATACTGTGGGGCAGGAAAAAATAGTCATATCGAACCCAAAACTGGTCAGACTATCCTCCAAGTTCAATCACCATCTAGCAGTTCACTTTAGATGTGAGAAAGTGCCAAGGAGGGCAATGAGGATAGTGAGAAGTGGCAAACAATCTCCTCCTGGAAATAGTTGAAGGAAATGAACACAGCCAAGAAAAGGTAAAAGAAAAGACACAGTAGATGTGTCAGACTTGCTGTGTATTTCCCTAGAGAACATTTATTCATTTATCTAATGATGTAGCAAGCACCACGCAAGTGTGTGTATGTGTGCTCGTGTATGTGTGCATGTGCGTGAATGAAATATAGTCCCTGCCTTACATAGCTTATTTATCACAAAGAGAGGCCATTGAACTTGCAGTTAGGGATCCCAGAAGAGTATACAGAGGGTGCTAAGGAAGCACACGGAAAACAGCTTGGTTTGGCGTATCCAGTGCACTGGAGTTGGAAGTTAATGAGCTCTGGAGCCTGCCTGCCTGCCTTTATTCTCAGCTTTGCCACTTACTATGTGACCTTGAACAAGTCACTTAACCTCTCTCTCTGTTCTTCATATGAAAAATGAGGCTATCATAATACCTAGCCCACTGGGTGTTTAGAAGAAGGCTGGGCCCTCAGTAAATATGGAGTGCTACCAAGAGATCTCCAAGGCCCCATCAGCCAATCAACTCTACGGGGATCAGCACAGTTTTTACATTAGGTACTAGTATAATCTTTACTGTTTAAGTAATACTTAATATTCCCCAAGAACCCTGTGAGGTAATTAAGGAGGGCGTTATTTATTCTTTCATTTCAGGGACACTATGTGACTTTATCATGGCCAAATGGCTATTTAATAGTCAAACTCAGGACTTCCAACTCCAGTGCACTGGATACGCCAAAATCTTCTGAATTTTCTTCTTAGTAGGAACCAGGAGGCCCGAGGCTGTTCTTAGTTGAAGGAGCAGCTGCAAATGGTAGGGAACAAGAAGAAGGAAGGTCGGACTTTTTCAGATATGGTCATACACCTTTCTGTAGTAATAGGGGCCAAGTTAAGGAGCGGGTGCCCCCAAATATCTAAATCCTGACATAGCTGACAATTTGCCAGGGGCTGAGGAAGTCACTCACGGCTCCTAACGCCTCCAGCACCTTCCGTGGTTCCTGTTCCAGAGGAGGAGCTCAAAAATCTTAACTGAATTGAGATACAGAGTTACTAGTGCTATTTCTACTTCAGCTTCTGAGGACTGCAAAAACCTTATCCTTATCTTAGCACAGATTCTATATGCAAGCAATGTTCTAAGATCTACTCAACAGAGAGATTCTTGTATCTCCCACTGCCTCAGGGTAAGGTGGGGGCTGCCTTATTTCTGTTCTTCCTATTTTGATCTTTTTTTTCTGCTCTAAAAACAACCTGTCAGAGCCAGCAGAAGGGTGTGGGGCCCGGGAACTAGGCCCAAAGGGTGAGGAAACATGTTGACATCAGAATTCCAAACTCCACCCCCAATCCTCTGGGCTCCAGTTTCCTGTCACACTCCTTCCCCCAGTCTCTTCCCAGTCTCTGAACCCCACTCACAGTATCTTTTCCTTCCGTGTTTAGGTGCTCTCCTGCTCTCTGCTGAGTGGACTCCTCTGCTGAGTGGACTCCTCTGCTCTCCTGCTCTCTGCTGAGTGGACTCCTCCTTTACATTCCTGCTTCACAAGCTTTCACACTTACCTTCAGACAAATGGCTTCAAACCAAAAGGGATAATGCCTTAATAGCCTCATGAGGCAACAAAAATCTTCAGTTGTTTTTAAAACAAATATTCTTAGGTTTGAAAACTTCCATGACCCAGCTGAGTCCCCTTGGGCAGAGATCATTTTCCAAACTTCCTTTTCTTTGGCCTGAATTGAACCCTGTGTCATGGGGTTATCAAGGGTCAAATGAGGCAATGCATGGCTATGGATTGAATTGTGCCTTCTCAAAATTCCTATGTGGAGACCCTCCTCCCCTCCCCCCAATATGATGGTATTTGGATATAGCACTTTGGGGAGGTGGTTAGGTTCAGATGAGATTGTGAGAATGGGGTAAGTGCCCTTATAAGAAGAGACCAGAGAATTTGCTCTCCCCATCACCCTCCTCTTGTAGTGAGGACACAAAATGAAGACTGCCACCTGCCAGCCAGGAAGCTGGCTCTCTACTGGGGCTACTGGAAGGTGGAGAAATACATTATTGCTGTTTAAGCCACCCTGTCTATGCTCTTTGTTATGGCAGCCCAGCTGACTAAGACAACATGCAAACCCTCATTTTTTCACTCATTCATTCATTAAATAAGTATGTATTGAACTATTTCCAGGTGCCATATTCTGTGCCAACAACTAGGATTTAGCAATAAGGCAGTAAACAAAACACAGTCCCTCCCTTCCTTAAGCATAAAGCCCAGTAGGAAGAGCTAACAGATAATTATAAACATAATTAACTGTGAGAATTATCATCAGTCCTATAGAGAAGGGAACCATGACAGCCATTAACCTAACTCGGGGGAATCGGGAATTCTTTTCCAGAGAAATAACATGTAAGTTGATGAACTAAACAAAAGTATGAGTGTGGGAAAAGAGAAGAGATGAAAAAGTTCCAGGCACTAGGAATAGCATGTTTGTCTTAGTGGATTTGAGCTGCTTTGACAGAATACCATAGACTAGAAAGGTCTATGGTGGGAAGACAGTAATCAGTAATGGAGAATAACACTGCTGTTTCAGGGCCCTGGGATTATGGAAAGGTGTACAGTACAATTGCATGAAAAAAAAAAAAAAAAAAAAAAAAAAACTTTGGGGACTAACAGATCCTCTTCCGCTTTCATAGTCATCTCAACAACTGTGATGCCTGAAGAAGTGGGAAAGAAGATGACCCAAACTAGACTGGGAGCTTCCCAAGGGGATAATATACTTTGTTTGGAGAAAGAAACAAATGCATATGTAGCAAATATAGTATTCCAGGCACTGTTCTAAGCACTCTGTACA